TCTTTCCCGTGAGATTTCAAAGATCTCTGTACTGAAGGAGAGATTGGATGTTAGTTTTGGTGGAGTGAATTGTTTTGGCCAAAAGAATGAGGAAGCATGGCAATTTCAGGGCAGGGCCTCGGCCTTGTGTGTTTCTCCTGGCCTGCTAGTACTGCTGCCATTGCCACGAGAACATGCCCCGCACAGCCTGAGGTCCAAGGAGGATGACAGACACGTGGAACACAACTGTTCCAGCCGAGGCCTGCCAATCATGACCATGGGAGAAAGAATAAATGATTGTTCTTTCAAACACTAAGTTTCAGAGTGTTTTCCTAATCAGCAATAGTTACCTGAAATATTGGGTCATCAGGAAAGTCCTGATGTATTTTTCTATGTTTTTCTAGGCAAAAATGAGTCATGAATTTTCCTGATGATCTCATATATAGTATCCTTTAATTATCATAATTCTAAGCCATTTCAAACATAAGGAAACAGAAGTTCAGAGATGTAAGTCATTCAAGGAGAAGAAGCTAGAGAAGTAAGCTGTGTCAGATGATTTGGGATGGGTTCTGTACAATATGTTAAGGAATTTCAACCCTGAAGTCAATAGGAGATTAATATCACCTATGGGATTAAGTGAATGTACCAGCATACGCATGTGTGCAATATCTGAATATGAAAAGTAAATGACTGGGGCTAGCAGGTGGCATGGTAGTTAAGGTGCTGGACTCCCACATGGCCAACAACGGTTCAAGTCCCAGACCCAGTGGCTTGAAAATCATGCCGAGCGAGTGTACATATGTGTCCAAAATCCCAGGAGGAAAATTGACTAGAAGGGACTACAATATGGCCATTCCCTCAGTGGAGGGATTTATCGCCTTCCCTCTCATTGTCTCTCCAGTGAGCATATATGCCCTATAGCAAAAATCTTTTAAAAATAGTATGATCACATACACATTTTACAAAGATCTCTTTGGGAGAAGTGGGCAGTATAGTCCATAAGGCTTAAAGATTAGTGACAGAAGAAAGTTGTAGTTTTATAAGGAAGAGTGAATGAAGAGATTATAATTAACATCAACACCAGAAGTGTTAACACTGCATATTTATAAATTATCCTAAGTATTCAAATGTACACCAGCGTTAGTCCCTCTGCTCCGTAGATAATCTTATTTTCTCATATTCATTCATTCACTCATTCATATTTTTCCTTCTATCAGGCAATCAGCACAGAAGCCGAGGAAGACTGGTGGTTTGGCAGGAGATGAACAGAGCACAGAACTACATTTATCTTTTAGTTCTCTTCCAAAACTACTTTCCAAATAGTAGATGCAATACTTTCATGTAATGCTTTCATTATTAGGAAACTAATGTCATCTGTGACAGGTACCGAATATTCAAACTCGATCTTCAGGTTGGTTGCAATCTAACGAAGTCCATGAACTTAAAAGAATTCCATTCTTACCATTTTGCATACTGAGCATCTTTTGCTTGCTCCCTTTTCTCCACAGGTAGTGCAAAATTCCACATCCACGAAGCCCACCTGACCAGTGATGGCTTGAGTAAGGACAGAGAATGCAGTGGGATCAGAACCCTAGAGGTGTATGAAAAGGAGGCAAAAAGTCTCAAATCACCATGGAAAGAATTCAGAGAAGTATTGCCCCAGAAGCGATGCGGAATCATGACGCTGACACACAGGGCAAGAATGATGAAGGCATGCAGGTTCACGGACTGCGAGAGAAATGACGAACGTCCTTCTGACTGTACCTTTTTCTGTACAAAGCATATAGGAAGCAATCCCAGATACCAGTTATAAGAAGAAGAAAAAGTCCCCATTCTAGACTAAAAGTACTTAGTAATTAGGATTATTCGGTAAGCCCTTAGTGGTTTTTTTCTTTTTTGGAGAGTTTTTTTTTTTTTTTCGCTATAGGGCGCGTGTGCTTGCCAGACAGACAGAGAGAGACATAGAGACAGAATACGAGAAATCACCCCCCAGGGGGGATGGTCACGCCGCAATCCCTTCTCCTCCATTCTCCTCTCAGGATCTTGGGCATGCACGCACACGCGCCCGGCGTGAGTTTTAAGCCACCGGGTCCGGGACGCGAACCGCGGTCGACTACGTGGGAGTCCAGCGACATAGCCATTACGCTAACTGCTGGTTCCCAAGCCCTTAGTGGTTTCAAATACAGAACAGAGTAAAACTTTTTTCTGAGAACCGATATCAAGATAATATTTATAGTCTGTGTAACAATTGTAGGGCATTTTATGAATGTATAACTATCTTAGTTCTTGAAAGTCTGGTGCAATTTAAGGATTTTAAAGATTTTATACATTTTTATACTTTTTTCCTTATTTTTGTGACAGGGCCCATGAGCTTACCAGAGAGAGACAAAAAGACAGAAAAAAGGAGAAGGAGAAAACACTGCCCCCCCCCCCGGGACACAATGACACCACCATCCCTTCTCCACTATTTCTCCATCCTATCAGGATTTGGGGCATGCGAACACATGCACCTGGCATATTTTAAAAGTTTCTAGGACCAAGATTCAAACAGTGGAATTGAGCATGTGATAATCCAGTTCCCTTAGCCCCTAGACAGCGAGATTGACCCAAGACATTATACATTTAACATTATTTATCTGATCTTGGTCTACAATTCAAATATTTAAATTTTCATTCTTATCAATAGAGTGATATTCTGGAACCAGCAGTTGGTATAATGGCTATAGCACTGGACTCCCATGTACTTGACTGCGGTTCAAGTACTGGACCTGGTGGCTTAAATTCACTCCAGGCGTGTGTGAGTGCATGCCCAAGATCCTGAGAGGAGAATGGAGGAGCAGGGATTGTGGCGTGGCCATTCCCCCAGGGGGTGATTTCTCATTTTCTGTCTGTCTCTGTCTTTCTGGCAAGCACATGCGCCCTATAGCAAAAACCTCTCCAAAAAACCCAAACCAAAACCAAAACAATAGAGTGATGTTTTATGTACTGTATGCTATAATATTAGAGATATTGGCTAGCCTTCCGTGAGCTAAAGTGCACTTTGTTCAACAGGTAATGCAAAACATCTTCAACAGTGCTATATACTATGATGCTGGAGGAGGATTTCTTAAATGGAGTTACACCTCACACTTGCCACTGAGCCTTGTGACAGGCAGGAGACAGATGCCACACCAGGCAGAGGGAATCACAACCTGGGCAGGGGGACCAAGGCATCAGCATGGTCAGAAAGCAACGTGAGTGATTCTCTTCACAGCCAGCCCTGAGAACCACCATGCTACTTCAGAAGGTTAGGAACTTGTAAGATAATGAAACTCATTGGGCAATTGCTACCTGGGATACGTATAACCACAAGCACTCCAAGTTTTCCAGAGAGTAGAACTTATGACCCTTATAGAACAAACACTTTAAAAGACAATCTTTCTAAAATGCAATAGATACTATTTTAACTTTATTATAAACCTCTTCTTGAAGACTCACATCACTAGGATAAACTTTATTCATGGTCCTCTGTAAACTCTTGTTATTTTACTGCATAGGACTAAGATGAATTGTTGACCTATACATTGACCTGCTTTGGGTTTCTAAAAGTACTCTGGGTTTCTATTTTCAGTTTTTTCCCCATAAAGGTAGAAGGTCAGCTACCACTTGTTAGTGCTGGTAATTGTTCATAGCAGGCACTGCTGTTACTTCTCTAATATAAATTCCCTCAATTTCCTCACTAACCGATGCCTAAGTTTGTTTAGAGCACCGATGTTGAGACACACTCTAAACTCTAACTTCCCCAGACTCCAGTGCAGCTAAGAGTGATGCACGTACACAGTGAGCTTCTGGGAGACCTTACATTTTCCAGATGTAGATCCCTGTTTACTTCCTGTCAGCCTGGGAGGGAATGTGAGTCTGGAGAAAGAGCATCAAATACTTTGCAACTGTGAAGCTATAAGCATGAGTATGAGAACCTACACAGCCAAGGAGTGTGGTATAATAAGATGGAGAAGTGTTTCAGTCTGCAGTCCATTTCCGAGTCACCGTGCCAGACCTGGTCAGGTCCAGCTTTGGGCATCTGACTATATAAAAATACTATATGAATAAACTCTGAGCTATGTAATTCATGGATGGTTAGCGTGTGAAACATACAGCCAAAATGCATTTGTGATTGATCATTCATTCTCTAATTTGCTCATTTTAATCTTCTAAAAGGCTAAACAACAAATAGCTAAGTATATTAAAAAGTGAGAATAAGAAATCCCTATGAACATATGGGGAGCTCTCATGAATAAATGAAGGCTTGTTTTTTCTGCCAAGGTCTTTCTTGTTAATGTTATAGTTCAGAATACCTGAAGCCTTCATAAACAAAACAAGAGCTGGAACCCTTTTCTAGTTCTGATTTCCTACAGTGGGAATGATTTAAAAGCCTAGAGAAGGTAGAGGAGGGAAACAGATTGCCAGAGAGAGGGAGAAAGCTACAAATGAAATGAGCCTTAAGATCAGTTTCTTGCCTGACTGATAAAGGATTTGATTGAAATGTATGAACACATGAACGGACACTGACAAAGTGATTTTGGGCATGCACACACATGCACGTGGCGTACTTTAAAAGTTTCCAGGACCAAGATTTAAACTGTGCAATTGACCATGTGCTATCTGGTGCTCTTAGCCTCTAAGCTATTCCAAAGAGGGAAGCAGAGAGTATCTCAGAAAGTACTACTTTAATAAATATATGATGAAAAGACAAGTAAGTGATTTAAAGAACAGATTAAAATGAACAAAATTTACTTCCTTCCATAGCTGAGAAATACAAGTAGATTGAAAAAAAAAAAAGAAGAAGAAGAAAGTATGGAAAATTTCTAATCACAGGCGTTAAGGTGGGATATAAACTAGGTTATGGACTGGTTCCATGGCCTGGTGGTTAAGGCAGTTGGATCCTCATGGCCAATTACGCGGTTTGAGTCCTGGTCTTGGTGGCTTAAAAACTCTCTGGGCATGTATGTATGCATGGCAAGAATCCCAAAAAGAAGGGAAAGATGGAAGAAGCAGGATTGCAGCCTGACCATTCCCCCGGGCGAAGGACTATGATCTCCTCTCTGTCAAGCACACACATGCCCTATAGCAAAAAAAAAAAAAAAAGAGGAAACAAAACTGGGACAGAGTTTGAGACAGGCATTAGGAAACACAATGAACTTTCTCAGGGCTCCAGGGATAGCCCCTCTGCCTAGACAGCATCACTCCAGATGATCACCCTGTAGGCCCACCTAGTGAAAGACTTCATACTGACAGCTCACATGGCTTTGGGGGCAGATGTGTATCTGCACCACTCCCTTTACTACTCCCGTGGAAGTATTTAAAATGTAAGTGTCCACTACAATCATCTGTATCCTAACACAGAGAAACACTGCTTATTAAGCTATAAGCTACAAAAACATAAGAAGAGAATCATGGAAGGGAAAGTAGAAAAATAAAACAGGTTCAGCTTCCTTCCTTCCTGAAAACTTGAGAAAAATACATACTAAACTTTCCGTTAACTGTACGACATGTAAACACTGGGTCTTGCTGACAGAGTAACTTAGCTGTGAGGCGCCTTACAATTTCAACAGGAGCAATGCTTCGCACCAGCTGCTGGAGGAGTGTAGCTTCACAGTAAGGAAACTTCCTGATACTTTCTCTAATGACCTTTTCTTGATAGACTGGAAAGCCATCCGAAGCTCGGCCTTTTAACAAGCTGAAAGAAAATGTTTTAAAGAATAACTGGAGTTGAATCCCTAAACAGCCCCTCCTAGCTGAACCCAACGGCTTTTAGTATTTCTCTCTGTTACTTAAGCTTTTCATTCTCTCTTCATGTTGATGGGCTCGATTCACACTGCTATTCAGTCTGTACCTTAGGTGGGACCTTATCAGGTTAGGGTGCCCAGAGATGTATATGCAAAGGTGACTCCTGCCAGAACACACACGAAAAACAGTGTTATCAGATTAGCTAGTTACTTATTACTGTGTCTGTTATTTGCACTCTGAAAACTTCCATGGAGTCACACCCTTCTGATTGAGTTCCTTGTTCTTAGAAAGGCTGCAAGAGAATGTGATCCCTGGTGGTCAGAGAACAAGGACAGCCCACAGCTCTAAGTACAGTGACAGAGATACACGAGTGCCAGGATGAACTCAGAGCAGCAACCCACAGCCTATCACACTGCTCAAATTTGGACTTCGTTATTTTCTAGTTCTATAATTTTACACACGCTCTTTAACATCTCTGAACCTCAGATTCCTCGTTTATAAATCAGTGATAACAACAAAAACATTGTTCAGAATATATAACTGAATAATCCTTCAAAGTATATAACATTCTCCACTGTTTCGTACAGACTAAATGTAATCCTAACAATAGCAATTGTTGCTGCAAAGCTGAATTTTAAAATCTAGAACGAGGCATCAAACAGTAAAACATTATTCCCTCGACTGTTATTTTATATAACATGGTTTAACGAAAAAGTACCTTTTGATGAAGGTGTCCAATTTATTCTCTCCGTCTTTTAAGAAGCTAATGCATTTTTGAAAGATGCAGCTGATGTAGTGCATTTTCATCGCCAGAACTTCATTCATGTCTCTTTGCTTCATGCATTTCTCACAAATCAAGTCCATCACCCTGTAGCATTTATTCAGAGCCCCTTCTTCCGCGAGCAGAGGATTCTCATTTACAAGCATCACTATCTAAAAGAAATTTTAGTGAGCTTAGAAATTCCACGAAGGATTCTGCATGTACAAATTAGGGACTCCCTTTAGTTTATTTCAAAAGATTACCACATCACATATAGCTACTCTGTTAATTCCAATTAGAATGCAAATTGTCACTAATTGAAATTATAAAATGAATACAGAAAGACCCTGATAACATAGAATCTCTTAAATTCTCTATATTAAAGTTATAATGTGACCTGTCCACGAGCTTAACTAGGGTGTTAGTATGCCTCTCAGAGTACATGATTTTACCATCTCTTTTAAAAGAACTTTTGCTAAAGCTAAATATGGCATATTTGCATACCCTTGATACAAAGGAACTTCAAAAGTTCATAGAGATTGGGACCAGCAGTTAGCGTAATGGCTAGGTCGCTAGACTTCCATGTAGTTGACCGTGGTTCACAGTCACAGACCCAGGCGCATGTGCATGCGTGCCCAAGATCCTAAAAGGAGAATGGAGGAGAAGGGATTGTGGCATGGCCATCCTCTCTGGGGGCTGACTTCTCGCTTTCTGTCTCTCTGTCTCTGTCTTTCTGGCAAGCCTACGCACCCTATACCAAAAAACAAACAAACAAACAAAAAGCTCTCCAAAAGAAAAAAAGGGAAAAAGATCAGAGAGGGGCCAGTAGGTTGCATAGTGGTTAAGGTGCTGGACTCCCACATGGCTGACTGTGGTTAGAGTCCCAGACCTGGTGGCTGGAAGATCATGCTGGGCTCGTGTGTGTGTGTGTGTGTGTGTGTGTGTGTGCGTGTGTGTGTGTGTGTGTGTGAGAGTGCCCAAATCCCAAGAGGAGAAGGAGAAAGAACTCTTCCTGGGGTGTGATTTATCACTTTCCCTTTTACTATTTCTTTCTGTCTCTCTCCTCTCTGGTGAGTACACATGGCAAGAACTTAAAAAAAAAAAAAGAGAGAGAGAGAGAGAGAGAGAGAGAGAATGAAGAAAAAGAAAAAGTTCATGGAGAAATAGGATTAAAATATAAGTTTATTTTGGCACAAAAATAATTGAAATTCATTAATAACTTTTTCATAACATGCATTTTTCATGAGTTTTTTGAAGACCCCCTTGTGTACAGAATCAAATCATTGAACAATTGTTACTTTTAGTTAATCTTACATAGTTCTAGAATTTCATGGCTAGAAGAACTTCAGTTCTCATTAATTCTTTTTAATCAGAGAGCTATCAAGTTATTACAGAAAGAAGTCTAAAAATGAAATGTGTTTGACTTTCCAATCAGCTATATTTCTCTGTGGAAATTTTTCTGGGATGCTTCCAATCACTTACAGTAATTAGAATAGGTATAAGAAACCATAAGTAGCTTTAAAAGGGGGAATATTAGAGAGTTATCAAATCTTAGGCATTAAAGTCTCACGGTTCCTGTGTATGCACAGATTTAAGCTCAAATTTAGTGTATGTTTTTAACTGGCTTTGTTGCAGGGCAGATTGTGTGAAGTAGCTCTGCCTGTGACAACTGCACACATCCATGCTGCTTAGCGGTCATGTAAACATATGTGTTAAGATGAGCTCAACTCCATGCACAGAGCAGAGAGCTAGTTTGTACTTGCTAACCTTCTCGTTTCAGCTAAATACCTAGTTCAGGGATTGTAAATGTGAGCAAATCACAGGAGGCAGATTTTATGAATTCCATTCTTTCTTTAAGCACGAAGAAAAATCATTTGCTAGCTTAGGTAAAATCCCTTCCTAGCTCTGTCCTGGAGACATCGATTGAAGTCCTTGTAAAATTAAAAGAAAATTTCCACTTACTTTTGACACTACTAGATCCATAAATGATGTATATTTTGCTTAAAATACAGCATTCAATAATATATTAATACACTTAATGAAATAAATATCAGCAGAATCCTTTTTGTAAATTTGTTGATAACTCTTCCTTCTAAAAACATGTATCAAAAATTAATTTGTGTTGGGGCCAGCAGGTGGTGTGGTTGTTAAGGCACTAGATTCCCATATGGTTTGAGTTCCAGACCTGGCGGCTTGCTTTCTCACTTTCCCTCCTTCTCTCTCTATGGTGAGTGTATGTGCCCTAGAGCAAATTTTAAAAATATAACAATAATAAATAAAAGAATTATTTTAAAAAATTAATTTGTAGCAGAAGAAGACTCAGGAACTACCTGTCTATACTTTTGCCAACTACAATTATTCAAAGTTGTTTGATCAACATTTTTATATATGCCATTTATCATCAACTATAGAATCTTAAACCGGAAAGTTAGAATTCTTTTTTAAAAAAAAGAACTGCAAATAGAATCCAGATTAATAATTTTGTTTGGAGATATAAGGTTTTATTGATTTTATAATATACAGCAAATATACACAATGAAAAGTGTAAATAGCCACAGCATTACCCTTGAGTTTATCTGAAACATTTACATAGCTGCACACAAAGGACAATATTTCCACTAGTTTCCTTCCTTTAATCTCTGCAGCATTATGAAGTAATACATACAAAGGAAATCCTTATACACTATGGAGGAGGAGCATATTCCTGGCAGCATAAAAACTGGATGAATTTTTTTCTCTCAATGGACTGCTGCCTTAGAATACGTGCAGTGGCATTTTGAATTCTCTTTATTTTTTAAATTGCTAAATCAGTAACTCTGGGCTTGAAATCATGTTTAATACTCAGAGAGGATGGCCTGGGGATATGTGCTTCCTATCTACTTAGAGACCTGCTCAGCTCTGCTGCTACTTTTTTCTTTTTTCTGTGATTTTGTTTATCTGCTCAATAACCTCTATTCTGGGCATCTGCCCAATTCCCCAAGTCCCTTTTAAAAACAAACATGTCCTTATTGCTATAGCAGCCACTTAACCAGGATGCAGACGTAACCATGTGCGGTCGTCTGTAGTTCAACGGCATGTTGTGTATCTGGGAAATCTGCTGTGCTTATTTTAAAAGCTAGCTGACATTATATACCGGTTATTGGTTAATTCTTTTAAATACTTCATATGAAGAACATGTTAGCTTGAAGACAGGATAAAGCAATAAAAATGGGCCACCACGAAAGCAACTGGGCAGCTTTTCCATCTGAGGTACTGGCAAAAGAAAGAGTTTCAAGTGAAGAGATTGTTTATACCTACAAAAAAACAAATTCTGGTCTGAAGGCTGGCACTGTCATCATTAAATAGTCTAGCTAAGTGCTCTGAAAATATTGTGCTGACTTTTCCAGATTATATACCTTTCCGACTTATTGTCTACACAAATATGCCGTTAATATAACTTACTTAAAATATATACCTTTCAAGATAATTGAAGGAAGACTAATTCTTAGGACATCTTAACCTTGAGAAACTGAGTTCTAGGTAAAACATGAAAAAATAGCTGAGAAACCCTTATTGCAATCTGAAGGGTTAGAAATATAGAAAACATAGTGAACCAAAAGAAAAGAACTTCAAGTCTCTCAACCATAATATCCTGGAATGCTCAGGCAGAGGGAAAATATAAGGGTCTTATAAGCTGCACATATTCTCTACTTTGAGAAATACTATATCCCCACAAAAAGCCATCTCTGGGAACCAGCAGTTAGCATAATGGCTATGTCGCTGGACTCCCACGTAGTCGACCGCGGTTCGTGTCCCGGACCCGGTGGCTTAAAACTCACGCCGGGCGCGTGTGCGTGCGTGCCCAAGATCCCGAGAGGAGAATGGAGGAGAAGGGATTGCGGCGTGACCATCCCCCCTGGGGGGTGATTTCTCGCTTTCTGTCTCTATGTCTCTCTCTGTCTGGCAAGCGCACGCGCCCTACAGTTGAAAATCTCTCCAAAAAAAAAAAAAAAAAAAAAACAACCTTTTTCCCCCCCCCCAAAAAAAAAAAAAAAAAAAAAGCCATCTCTTCTCCTCACCCTATCCTGTTCCATGGAGAACAAGGATGCTACGGGGAGTTGTTCCTTATAAGACTTATCTCTTCCTATGTGTGCTAGGAGGGGAAAAACTGTAAACACAGAAGATGCTAAATTATTTCCATTTTTTTAAAGGATTTTTGCAACAGGGCATGTGTACTTGCCGAGAGAGAGACAGACAGAGAAGGAAAGTGAGAAACCATACACCACACCACAATCCCTTCTTCTCCATTCTCCTCTTGGGATTTTGGTACACATGCACACGTGTCCAGTGTATTTTTCAAGCTGCAGGGTCTGGGACTGGATCCACACAGCTTGCCAGCAGGTGGATAAAGAGCCTTATCAGTCTGCCACCTGCTGATCCTAATTTTTTTTGTTTTTTTTTAAATAATTGTCAGAGGGCTTGTGCACTCACTAGAGATGAGGGAGAGGGAAGGGCAACAATCCCCTAGTGGGGTGTGGTTGTGCCACAGTCCCTTCTCTTCCATTCCTCCATCCTGTCAGGATTTTGGGTACATACACACACGTGCCCAGAGTCAGGGCTTGAATTTGCCTAGTCACCCGTGTGGAATCCAGCTCCCTGAGCCATGAAACTACAGGGCTAGCATGATGCTAAATATTTTTTTAAAGACTACATTTTAAGTCTCATGTAATCTCCCTTAGAAACACGAGTATGCATTTCACAGCTGAATTCCTTTCATTCACTTAGTATCGCAAGTTCTTCTAGAACGTTAAGAAAAACCTTAAGTGCTCCAAAATAAATTAGAACAGATTTTGCTTTTAAGTCTGATGGGAAAGATACCTACTAGTTTGTTATCTCTCACGAAGACCCAGAAAATTAATTTGGGTGGCCGACTACAAGACAGGTGTTTTTTGTTTCTTGAGCTCCAAAGAATGACTCAAGGAAAATGCACAGAATGCATAATCATGTTAAAAGTTCTGAGTGTCAGTCTTCAAAAGAGTTTATTTATGAGAACTATTCATTTATTTTAATAGTGTTCAGTATATTCCATGGACTTTTGCAATAGATCTCTAAGGAAATCTATTTCACTACTTTCCATCAATAGCAAAACCTTGCATTAAAGGAAAAATCTCAACTTCTGATCTAATGTACTATCTTGCTCACCAAACAGCTCTGAAAATCTATCCACTATTAATGTAGGGATATTAAGAGCCACTGGAATTTGTAAAAGGAGAGCAGTATCATTGCAGCACACGTCATTAAGTAGTTTTCTGTAATGATTTCCAACGAAAATTATACTCAGTTGGACTGGTTGTTTTTCAAATAATTTTATAAGCAACTGCAAGAAAAGGCCATATTAAAAAACCTGAAGAAAATAGCAGTGAAAATAGCTTAGGATGGCTCTTGAAGGTTCCCAGTTAAGCTATTTACATTGTATTCATTTACAAAGTTTGAACTGTTGTACTTGACTAATTATCTGATGATCTGTATTACCTAAAGACACCCAGTAGCCACATGCATTAGAAATGTGTCCACAATCTCATTTCAGAATATTTCCGAGAAGGGTAGTTATAGTAGTAGATGCTATCAGCACCGCTCCTAGATCCTCTTTACCAAGCTTAGTACACACCAGACCACAGCTGCTCCGAGCATTGGCGTCTAAAAGTTCATGGTGACCTTTTTCTCCCGAAGGTGGCTCCCTCACTCAAAGCCAGTCATGTCACTTGGTACTAAGAGGCTGTCCTTTCCAACCAGGGACAGGACCCAGCCAATGCAGACTGATAGATACAAAAGTCTGATTCCCTTAGCTCTCCAGAACCACTCCTGCTCCAGAGCTCCCTATGGGATAGGTGGAGGCTAGGCTTCATCTGAATTCCCTATGGGATAGGTGGAGGCTAGGCTTCAGGGGAACGCTCTCCCCACCCCACCCCCCGCCCTTGTCTGCTTTTCCTCCCGCTGGTCTCTTGCCCTCATTCTCTACCAGGTGCCCACTCAGAGCACTCCCTCAACGAACCAACTGAACAAGGGAGCCCAACACAAGCTCCATATCCATGAAACCCAACCCAAGTCAATCCTGATCCCATAGAGTAAGAACAGTTTAAACTCTGAAGCAATATTCAAATAAAAAGCAAATGCAATGAACACCACACTACCTTGACAGGATGAAGATTTGTTGTGGTGATAATTTTGTGCAGTGGGCCTGCCAGCTTTGGGGGCAGTTTGGGCTCTTTATCCAGTCCCTGGGGTTTAGTGTAATAATCCAGTCTCTCTCGAGGAAAGAAATTGTTGATTATAGTCACACAATCATGTTGACCTTTTAAGAGAAACATAAAAAATTATAAATTATTAAAAGGAGACATTGCCTTTATTTTTGTTAATTATGTTTCTCTGCTTTCTTATGAAATAAACAGGCATCACTATCTTCATTTTTCAGGGAAGAAAAGTAGAAGAGGAGGAAGAGGGGTAAAATGTTTTAGGGAACATTTACATGCATTCCTTCTAAAGTCAAGAAATAATAAAGATAGAGAATCTATAGTACAGGTAAATATTATGTAGATTACCAAGAAAGTAGCGTTCGATTTATAACTGACCATATTTCCTAAAAGTTGCTTACAATTTAAATGTCTCTTCTTCCATCCCTACATAAATGGCAATCATGCTTCCCTAATCACATCAGTAGGACACAAAATTGAATTTTTTAATCTACAATTTCTTTTTTTTTTTTTTGGTAATAAGAATGAAATGTTCGTTTTATTTAGCTTCACATCTTACATAAAAATTCAGATATACCCCAAAGGATTTTTCTTAGATGAGAGCAGAGGCCGAACTCGGGATCTGACAAGATGACTGGGTGTCCCCACAGGATCACCAAGGAAACCAGCATTTGCTGACAGAACCGGTTCCTGGCATGAAAGCAGAACCAGGTGAGAGCAACACCCGTTATTTTCATGTGGTCATTGCTGGCACCCAGGATTCTCCCTTTGAGGGAGGGACTTCTGAACTTGAACTATTCCTTTCAGAAGAATACCCAATGGCAGCCCTTAAAGTACGCTTCATGACCAAAACTTATCATCCAAAGTAGACAAGTTGGGAAGAATATGTTTAGCTATTTTGAAAGATAAGTGGTCCCCAGCACTGCAGAGCCCCACAGTTCTGCTATCGGTCCGGGCTTGGTTAAGTGCTCCCAATCCATTCAGATCATCCATTAGCAAATGATGCAGTGGAGCAGTGGAAGGCCAGTGAAGCCCAAGCCATAGGAACAGCTAGAGCACAGACTAGGCTATACGCCACGAATAATATTTAAATCGATCTGATCATCAAGTGTGCATCGCTTCTGTTCTGCCAAGACTGCTTCCTTTTTTGTCTGCACTTAAGGGGCACAGTCTTAGAAACATTACGAAATAAAAGCCCAGGCATCTTCAGTCCTTTGGTGATTAAATGCATATTAGCAAATATTAAAAAAAAAAAAAAAAAAAAAAAAAAAAAAAAAAGATTTTTTCTTATATAATCATCAATATTATTAAACTAATTCCATCTTTCCCCAAATTTGAGAAAAGCTTGGCCCCTTTGTGTAATGAATTAGATAATAAAGTCTTTTTCTCCCAGAAGCTTGAAAACCACATAATGCCTTCTCCCAGATCTCTAAGCACTTCTTTAAGGCATCTGTAACTTAGAAAAGATTCTATGATGAAATTCCAAATTCTTTCAGGGCCTCAAGTCCTAGAGGGGGGAATGCAGATATTATGTAGATAGGTATTAGGAGCAGGGAGTTCTTGGGGGCTGGCAGGTGGCATGGTGGGTGAGGTGCTGGACTCCCACATGGCTGACTACAGTTCCAGTCCCAGACCTGGCAGTTTGCTTTCTCACTCTCTCCTCCTCTTTCTGTTTCTCTCTGGTCAAATTGAAGGCTGGTAATAGTAAAATAATAAAATAAAATAAAAAATTTTAAAAAAAAAGAAAAAGAAAAAAAGGAGCAGGGAATTCCAATACGGCAACAAAGGGGACATCTGACACATCAATCACTGTAAGCAGGGACCACAGCTAGGCCCCTGGGCACCAGGAGATGAGCGGTTATCTCACTGAGATGTTTAGTCAACATCTTAATTCCCACTGAGGCCATAAACTGATAGGGGCAGCAGTCCCGGGGATGTGCATACCTTCAAAGTCCACACTGGGCAGGCGAAATTGGGTAATCAGATTCCTTACCTAAGGAAGAAGGATGCAAGCACAAGCGCAAATGGACGTCCAGGAAGTCAAATAAAGGGACCCCGCTATAATGACAGACCTCCTCTCCGAAATATTCATGACAAGACCCCAGGGTAAGAGTAAATACAGAATATTCATGATGGAAAGGTTTACTTGGTGTGCTGCAATGATGGACGGCGGCGAATGTAAAAGTAATTGCACTTGTCCTTTTTCGGCAGATGCCCATCGGCACGCCTTTTTGGTTGAGAGTATATTTCTTTTTTGTTAAAAAAAAAAAAAAAAAAAACTTTACTTTTCTATGAAAACTTCTCTTTTCCTACTTAAAAAAAGAAGAAGAAAGAAGATTCTATGAGAGCAAACACAACCTGAAAAACTGGGGGCATGAAAAGGTGCCCTACGCCTCTCCTCCCCAACTCCCATTCCGCTACCTGTCTGGAGCAAGGAAACGGCCACTCTGGGCAGGAGGCAAGCCCTGCAGGGTGCACTCAGGGCACAGGCTCTCCCAGTGTCTCTGGAGGAGAGATGACTTCCTCCTCCTCACCTGCCAAGGACCAAGAGATCAGCATCAAGTCCTGGAGAAGGTGCCCAGATACCATGGCACCCATTCCCAGAGCGTGGTCCAACCTACGAGGCCCACGTGCTGCCTGCCCTGGGCCTGGGAAAGTCTTTCCCTGCTCCTTGTTCAGGGTCCTGGGAAAGTCTGATTGATCCTGTCAAAAAAAAAGTAACCTTGAGGGGCACTGCGCTGTGGGCCAGGGTTCACCCATAGGGCGAGCAGAGGGCTCCATGTGTCTCCAGAAGCTTCTGGGTGAACCCTGGAGTGGAGCACTTCCTCCTTGGACTTCAGCTAAGTAGTTGACTCTGGGCTCACAGGGAGAGAGACTCAGCACTTCCCTCCACTGCTCCAAGACCCTATCAGCTTTACTTGGCCTCCAGGAGATACCCAGCAAACTACCCAAGGAGATCCAGAAACCCCAAAGACTAGGCAGTGTCTTCAACAGATGGCTTCTTGGCTTGGAAGTGCATGGACATCCTTATAATAACCTACCATCACAACTACAACTAACAATTTCAAGCATTTACACAGCCTCAGTTCCAGCATATTCATCGACTTTCAAACATTGCATAAAGATTTCATTTTAAAAATAACAGACAAATCCCAACTTCCTATTGTGAATTTCATTAGGGACCTAGATGATCAAGTGAATGAAATGTGTCAAAACAAAGAAAAGTTCAGGGATAGAAATCATCACGGACAAGCTAGAGCTGAAGGACAAATTTAAGAAATCTTATGAAAAAGAATAGAAATCCAAAAAAGAAAAAAAAAAGTAATGAATAGAGAAATAAATTATAGAAGAAAATGTCCCTGGTTTGAAAAGAGAACTTAGCAGAGATCACGATATCATTGTTTTTAAATAATCAATGCTATTGTTAAGTATAAAAACATCAATGTATTTTTTTGGAAGGAGGGGTATTTCTTTTCTTTTTTCTTTAATCAGAAAGCTCTTTTACAGGGGCCGGCAGGTGGTGCGGTGATTGGGGCCGCTGGATTCCCATAAGGCTGACCACAGTTTGAGTCCCAGACCTGATGGCTTACTTTCTCATTTTCCCTTTCTCTCTCTCTGTCTCTCTAGTCAAATTAAAAACTAATAATAACAAATGAAATTCAATAAATAATTTTTTTTTAAAAAAGAAAGCTCTATTACATATACCTTGAGGAACAGTCAAATAGTAGCAGTCTATATTAAAACAAGGCACTCTGGGATCAGCAGTCAGCATAATGGCTATGTTGCTGAACTCCCATGTAGCCAACCATGGTTTACGTCCTGGACCTGGTGGCTTAAACTCACACCGGGTGTGTGTGCGTGCGTGCCCAAGATCCCAAGAGGAGAATGGGGGGGAAAGGGGATTATGGTTTGGCCACTCCCGTTGGGGGGTGATTTCTCGCTTTCTGGCTCTCTATCTCTGTGTTTCTAGTGAGTGCACATGCCCTGTAGCAAAAACCTCTCCAAAACAAACAAGCAAACAAACAAACAAACAAAAACAAATAAAAAACAAGGCACTCTGTGCAAAAAAGTGATCATTTCTTTTTAGTTCTAGAATCTTTAAAAGGAAAGAAAATGACATTCACCCAAGCAAGTGGGTTATGGACCTGATAGCAACAAAATCAGTGTAGTAACCACGTGTGGGAACTAATTGCACAACCGTAATGAAGAAACTAGAGAGACCAGCAGTTAGCGTAATGGCTATGTCACTGAACTCCCATGTAGCCAACCATGGTTTGAGTCTCAGACCCGGTGGCTTAAACTGACGCTGGGACCCGGTGGCTTAAACTCACGCTGGGCGCGTGTGCATGCGTGCCCAAGATCCCACGAGGAGAATGGAGGAGAAGGGATTGCGGCGTGGCTATCACTGAGGGGTGATTTCTTGCTTTCTGTCTCTCTCTCTCTGTCTTTCTGGGTGAGCGTACGCACCCTATAGCAAAAAAAAAAGGAAAGAAAGAAAGAAACTAGAGAAGATGAAAGCAAACTACATGTGCTTCTTAAAACACAGTCTAGGGCCAGCAGGTGGCATGGTGGCTAAGGCATTGCGTTCTACCTGGCCAACTGCACAGTTCCAAGTCCTGGCCCCTGTGACTTGAAAAACGCACAGGGAGTATGTGCATGTGTGTCCAAAATCTCAAAAGGAGAAATGGAGAAGGGATCACAGCATGACCATCCCCGATGGGGGGATGCTTCCTCAACTTCCTTCTTTCTGTGTCTCTCTGCCTCTGTCTGTCTCTCTCCAGCAAGCACACATGCCCTCTAGTAAATTACAAAAAAACGTCTGAAGGCCATTTAGGAGAATACTTGTGAAACCCCAGGTCAAGAAGATCAAAAGGAAAAGAAACATGTAAACTATAAAAGAAAATACATGACTGCTTGAAAATACATTTTCAATGCCAAAAGTCCCAATAAAGTCACAGAAAAAGTCCAAGACTGGCATAATATATCCACAGCACATTTGGTAAATAAAGGGTTAGCATCCATAAGACACATAAACCTCCTTACGGCAATAAGAAAAACACAACCCAAAAGAAAAGAATATGAGCAGGCAATCCACAAAAGA